GTGGCCCGTTGCGATCTTTTTACATCGCAAACGATTCGGTGCTGCTGCTGCTGCTGCGTTGGCAGTGGTGCAACAAAGCACAGCGCAGTAGCAGCAGCAACAACGAACTTGGAAGTGAAATGAAAGCTCTGCGGTGCCGAGATGTTAACTACCCCACCTGGTGTACAGGAAATTGTGGGTTCGATCCCGGTTTCTGACGCCTGACTGTATATTTGGAGTTTGCATGTTCCCCCCGTAAATGTCCACGTGATAAACCACTTCGTTGGGCTATTATGTGTGGCCAGGTCGCTCCTGAAAAGGAGCTACGCAGCTCAGTGGGCCTTACCTGGTAAAATACAAATACAAATCTTTGGTTGAGTGGTTTTACCCCTTGCATCGAGAAATAGAACAACCCAGCAGTGGGTGTACACGACTGTGTAGACTTCGCGCCCACGTGTACGCCCAGTATGGACCAGAGTGTGTGACGTAATAGAGCATAGCACATGGAATATCCGGCCATCAATCGTCACAAACTATTTCAATTAAAAAATGTTGTCGCTGTTGCTTAATTGTGTACGTCCCATTTGTGTCTCGCGTATAAAGTTGTGTCTTCTCCATGTGCCTGCGTCGTATTTTAAACAACAATAAAAACAAACTCTACGCATTCGTGAATAACCCTGTGTGGCTTTTAAAGGGAAAAGACTGTAAATATATAATCGGTGACTCGACGGGCAATGGCCTGAGATAGTTTAGAGAGATAGAGGGGGTACGGTGGGAGACTGCACTCTACACAACTGGGCCTGATAGGAATTACATTACTTTAAAGGGTTTATTGATGAACAGTTTTAATTTGTCATATGAATAGTGACCTCAACGTGTTCATGTAAGCATATTTCAATAATTCATATTCGGTTATGATCATACACACAATTCGATGCGAGGATTTTTACATATTGCATCATTAATTATTGTGAGGATGAATTGCCAAGTCACTTTTTTGTGCGGCAAGAACTCGACTTGAGTTTGTGATTTAAATCCGACTCGTTGATGAAACGCAAATTGATTTTTAAAAATCCTCTCACCTACCATTGGCAACGTTAAAACGGATTTAAACCAACACGTTGATCAAAAGGGCAGCATTCATGAAGGTAATTTTAAAAGTAGCACCTCATTATGAATGAATAGTTATCCATACAGCCTTGTCATTGATCAATACACGTATTCCTCTTTCGTATGGATGTAACTTGTGTTACTGAACAAGGATCGTGATGTTGCATTGGCAGTGGGTGGCGCTTGAGAGCAAACATTCTGGCAGTTCTCAGGCGGGAACGCAATCACCTTCTCGGTTCATTTTACAACAGAGGCCGCACACATGAGAACATTCTGCGGTGCTTTAACTCTTACTTTTTTTAAAGATCGATGGACGGGTGGCCTTGAGGCTATCATCACAGCCGTACCACGATCCCAGAGGACCGCCCATTGTCCCCGTCAGTCGTGGCTTACCTAAAGGAATGCTGCGCGATAAGATAAGAGCCTGCCTCTTGCTGGTCTCCTTTTGTGAAATTGTATTTTGTTGTACGTAATACCAAAGTGTCATTTAACTTACGAGCGTACAATTACGGCTGACCAACAAACAAAGACGGTCACTGCATTGTGTGCTTTCATGTGTGCTTCTGTGACCGTCTGGAACGTTCTTCCTTCCGATATTAGGAAGCCGCCGGAGCTATGCACTTTTAAATCATCATCTAGATTTACAACTCACTTCTTTAGGGTTGCTTTTTGTGTTTGGTTTGTTGTCCGATGAATCAGTTCGATTGGTGACATGTGTATTGTATTGCTATATGCAATATATAGACAGAGAGATACAAATATCCCCCATATAACCTGAACAGATTGTGCTGTTCACGAGCACCCCTGTACACGCCAACACAGAGCACGAGGGGGTGCTGTGGTGAGCACCACGCCCGGCCGCCTTTGTCTCCCCAGTGTCTATGTTTGTACACCACGCAAGGGTTGTCATTTTAGGCTGAGTCGACCTATGTGAAGCCCAGGACCGCTTCGGACATTTGCCACTGATGTTGGCAGTGTCCAGGAATCCAACTAAACTCGCTGGGTTCCAAGCACACTGCGCTAACCACTGCGCCACCGCTCACCACAAACGCACACACGCTATCTCCATTTTACCCCCCATGGTTTCACGACCGGACCACTTTAATGTATAGCGCAGTTGTTTCCCACGGTCTTTCTTATTTACCTACGGAATGTGTCCATAAAAGTACACGTGAATGTATATAAACAGGACACGTCAATAATGTTACTCGAGGTCACCCTCCATGCAGCGGCGTTTGTCCATCCCGCGCAGATCACCTGTCGGGCACGGGCGCACCGATCACGCTTCAGGATAACAAGTTGATATTTAAGACCCCAACAGGAGGAGGATTTCTCCACAAATCTGGCTGTCGCCTGATGATGCTCGTTGTAACTACCAGCGAAACGTCGTACTCGAATTGTTAATGTTATGGGTTTACTCTCCAACACACCGATATGCTGTACCAGTGTAATGACAATAGAGTCAGCCTGTAGTGCGAATGGACTAGTGGCCACGGGAGGTAATGACAGGAGAGTCAGCTTACAGTAAGAATGGACTGGTGGCTGCGGGAATGATCGAGAATAGGAGCGTGTCCAGGTGACGGAAGAGGACGGTGGAATCCGCTGGTAGAGCAAGCGGTCTAGAACCAGCGAGAAGGTTCGGGAATGGGGGCGTGGCCTCGGACCGTATACCATACTAATCAGGGCGGCCTCCGGGTTTCACCCGTGAATCAACATACATACAGTTTGTTGACCTTCCCCGCACCTTCGATTAGCACCGTTAGCTACGTACGGTGGTGAAGAAGTACAACATAGTGCATACATTACGAACCTCCGCAGCAAGCGGCTAGCGCGCTATAGAGAGGCCACATCACCGCTCTGACGTGGCAGCACGCAGGGATTGTAGCCAAATAATGTTCTGTGTACATAGATACGTTTTGTTAAACACGTATTGTGAATAGATACGTTTAATATGCAGGATATGCAAGTGCTGTCATGAGAATCGTTAATGGGAATGTGAAAATGTAAATAATGTCACCCAGCGGTTTGGAGGGACAGCTGGTGGATCGTGTTTTACTAATCTTTCCTATAGAGACTTCGCATTAATTTCGTGTGTTTTTTATTGGTTGTGGTAACTTTCTGATCTGGCGGAAAATATCTTTATAGCTCATTGGATCCCTCCAGTCTAAACATTCTCATTCTGAAAACACAATGGATTCCTCTACCCCATGACACCAATGTTCCAATGCACATGACAGTGTGGAAGTACGTACTCTACATGTCTATTCCGAGTCTAAAATCAGACTAATGGATAGCTGGGTGTCTTGAAAGGGGATGCAATGTTTAAGCATCGGGCTTGGATCACCACCTAAACAGGAGCCGAGATGCCGATGATGAATTGTAGGAATAAAATTTCTCCTGGGGACCCCCCCCCTAACCCCCCCCTAACCCCCCCCCCCCTAACCCCCCCCCACCCCACAGTAAAATACGAATTGAAAAACTGTTGTACCTGTGCCTTTTCCAGATATGAGCACTCTATTTTGATGGTTGTCAGCAAACTTATGTTGCATTAATCTCGTGTATTTTTTTTTTGCCCGTTAGGTCTGGGGGCATCTGCTATTCACAACTATGCGGTCACTCCAACGTTTGAGCACCTCAACCCCATGCAGCGCCTGATTGTTTACTCTTTGTGAGAAGTGGGGAGCGAAAGAGGTCAGGGCATCTGCTTTTCTTCACTAGATACACAAACGTCCAGCACCACACCCATGTAATCACTGAATGTTATTTCTTGTGCAAAGCATTCCCATTAGGTCTGTGGGCATCTGCGTTTTACAACTATATGTGGCGACGTCGCGCCTTGTGAGATGACCTCTAGGTGACCTGAGTATCCATCCAAGGGAGTAACCATGAGGCCTGGCTTCGGGACCAGGATAGGTCAAAGGTTAACAAAATATTCTGGCAGCTGGAGGCCAAATTTACTATTTAAATTCCATCTCAGAACACACAAACCTGCTTCACATAAGACAGATCTTGAGCGCACTGCTCGTAAAATAAGACTGCCACATTATTGTGCATACACCTATGTACGATTGATGAGGTTAACCACATTCTGGACTTGCAAGTCTAGTGTAAGGTGACGGGCGTGTCACTGTGAAGGGTGCATGATGTGTTCACCAAGTTTGGTGACAAAAGGAATATTTGGGCTCGACACCAGAAACAACACCAAGGGGCACTCTGGGCTGCATGGACGTGGGGGCCGTCCATCATTACAGGCATCAGTACAGGCGGGGTCGGGTCAGGGTGGCCAACTGCAGCCTCATTGGCCGATTGTGGTCCTCGTGCAGCGGAGAGAGACTGGTGCCACTCGGATATCACTTGCCCGCGCAAAACAAGGTATATTCGCATTGACAGAGAAGATCTGCCATCACCGGCAGCTTTCTGCTATACCCACATCACCAAACCGCACCATCCATCCTTCAATTAACCCTCTCACTATAGGACATATAGGAAGCCTTGCAAACTCCACTTCATGCAAACTCACTTTACCTTGCCCATATCACGTGTAAGTTGCGTGCGTTACGTCGATTGGGTGGGTTTTTCCTTTCTATTGAATCGTTGTAACAAGTGTAGTAGTGTTAAATGTTGCTTCTGAGATACTGGTTGATGCTTTGACATTTTTACAATATCTAGTTTCGAAGTGGGTGCTGGATTCTTGTTTTGCTTTAGTCCGTGTATTATGCCGTGTATTATGTAACTCGATTCTGAGTTTGTAGCCGGCTGGTGAGAGCTATGAATCTGAGACACGGGGAAGTTTTTATACCTGATAAAAATATATAACATAACCTTCAGACCAGACTGCGAGAATCATTAACAATATTATTTCATTATATAACCTACCCACACTCAAAACGTCTGCAGACAACAACAACACATTACAATTAAATGTACTTTATTGTTATTCATCGTGTAAATTGCTATCCAGTACATATGCAGGATTATAACCACATCAAAGCAGACTACACATCGGCTGCATCTCCCCGAACCGTCAGCTCTTCAATGGCACAAGGTAGGCGGCTACTTCTCATAAGTCCGGACACACTCCACGTCACCAATTCTACAGGTCTGGGAGAAAGAAGTCAAATATACAGAGACAACGTTAGTACGAACCACAAATAAACTACGTTGACAATCTACGCAAGGGAACCAGAAGGGATGTGCTTTGTGAAAATGCATTAACGGCAAAAGGGTGGCTTACCAAAATCAGCTTTCCATCTTTCAACTCCCTCGTCAAGATGGACTCCTTGTTGTCCCACGTTTGTACTTGCACGAGTCTGTCCCCTTGCATGGATATGACGGACTGTGACGGAGACGGATGATCGTTAATGGCGGAACGCAATCGCTCCACCCTCATCCACCACTCTATTAAAAAATAAAAACTGCTCCATCAAATTCACAAACACTAAAGGGCTCTTTTTTTTCTCCACACATCTGGCTGTCGGCTGATGATGCTGGTTGTTTTAATTACTGAAACGTCGAACTCGAATTGTAAATGTTGTGGATTTACTCCCCAACACACCGGTGTGCTGTATTAGTAACGATTTCGCATGTTTTTCTTACATGACAAACCTTACTAATTGGCTGTGTCGGGTGGTGGCGGGTGTAGTGACACATTTATATTTACACGTTCTAACCTCCAAAAAACATCTTATAGCTTAAGGGCTGCGTGACAATAAAGTGAAACTTTCTATTGTACTGCCCGAAAAAAAACTCCCACGGCACTTAATGTTGCCGAAAAGTAATGCTCGACAGCGTGGAGAAATAAATACTCTGCTTTGAAGAAAACTCAGTCTCTTCAAATGTATCTTGTTCAAAGTTCATCATAAAAAACATTAAGACATGGAAGAAGTTCAGAATATTGGACAAAGAAAATTACAAATAATTTTCCCTCTGGAGCCGGTCCCCCCCTCCCCCACATCACAAGCGAGATGACTCATCTCAAAACGATGAATACCCCGTCATGTTTACTGCATGTAATTATATTCTCACTAACGGTACTTGCCTGCCAGTCTACACGGTTATACGGGGGGACCTTGAACGGTGTATTTGTACACCGTCAACATTTAAAGATTTGCTGAGAACTCGAGACACAGTGACTGTGTCACCTTCTCGACCCTTACCAATGCTAAACCTTGCCGCATGGGAGAAAACAGGTTAGCATAATCATTAGAAGGCGCCTTTGTCGTTGTGTGCTTGGTTGGGACTCAAACCCACGACGGGCGGACATGAGCTTACTCTAAAGCACCACGTGGAACATGCCTACAATGTAACTGCAGCAACAAAACTGATCCACATCCAGGGGGGGGGAGAAACTGGCTCCATCGAGAAACTAATTTGTATTTTTTTTGTCAAATATTCTGAACTTCCAAATTAGTATCATTTGTATTACTAAAGCAGACAATGTTTGTGTGAATGTCACAGAAGCCTTCAGCGTCCAGTATGCAATGTCCCGCGACCCTCGCATACAGCAGCAGCATCGCCGTACAGCGGTGACATGTGATCCGATGAAGCTCTCACAATCTGCTGCGTCATGACAAGCAAACGTGGACCCTCCACGGCACACTGATGGACGCATGTCACGAGAAGTGGGCCCACGTGCAGTGCTGGGCCCTGGCTGCGTGTGCACGGGCAAACGCTGCGCGTCAAATACGAGAGAGACGTGGGCAGCTGTGGGTACAAATTCAGAGGGAACTCACCTGGACCTCTCTGCCATCCGCAGTCGTCTCCTTGAACTCCTCGCCCAGTTTGCAGACAACCTCCGAGTTCTTGAAGGAGCTCATAGTCTTGATGGTCACGTTTTCTCCATCCGAAATGATCTCCTGTGTGGGTTTGGTCATGTTTCCGATCTTCCTCACGGTAAAGGAGATTCCTGCAAAACGCAAAAGAGCCGCATGATTGGATTCCTTCCGGCCACAATACAAGCACGCAGCAAACATGGAACGTTGGACGAACGTTGGGCCAACGGTTTTAACCTCATGCCAACGTCGGCCCAACGTGGCACGTTTACTGGGTGTCATTGTAATTGTAAACGCAGTGCACGTGTCATGGATGCAACCGCACGACATGACCGGTGGGTGCCAACTGCTGTGCGGAAAGATCAAACACTGGAGACTGAAAATCCACAATTTGCAGTATTCATGGTGGAGCGGTGGCGCAGTGGTTAGCGCACCGCGCCGTGCAGCCAGGCGGTCATCGTCCGTGGCTAACATCAGGGGCGAGTGGATATCTGAACCGGTCCTGGGAATGCTCTTCACCAGCCCGCACTGACCAGCGTGGTGAAGTATGGTCAAACAACCCCCACGGCGTGAGCAGACAGCCTTCATCCGTCAGCGGATGTTCCAAGTCATACCGCAGCCCGTGCAGCCGTCAATTTGTAACACGACGGACGGACGCCATGGAGCATTCGCCACTGGTGTTACCCGTGGCCGAACCCGGGTTTGCAGGAGGGCTGAACGATTTGGGGAAAATATTTAATTGCGATTTTTTTTCTAACAGATATCGATTGCGATTTGATTTGCGATTACAATTTTTTTTAAGTCAAGCTTCAGTTCAATATTCACTGTGTAATAGATTGAAAACATGTGATGGAGCATTACCACATGATACCATCAAAATATGAACTGTTCTATATATTCTAATGCAAGGATGAGAACTTAACATATATTAATTGCATCCAACATGTATTTATTAAAATGTTTTAATTGAAATAGAACAATTGTTAAATTCAATAAATAAAATTATAATATTAAAAAATAAAACAATTCCAACAACAAAGTAATAGGACTTTTAAAATCTCAAAACATCGCATTGTTTCAAATTGCGATCTCGATCGGAAATCGATTAATCGTTCAGCCCCTAGTTTGCAGGTGCGTATCGCGTTGCGCTCACCACTGCGCCACCGCTCCCCCGCTAGGGCGGCACAGCGTGGAACACAGCGAACGAAGCAATCCGCCACGAAGCCGTCATCCAGCAGTGGATCGACAGAAGCGCGGCCGCGCGTACCCAGCGAATTGTGAAATGCAGTGTCAACGTCCCGCACAAAGCAACTTGCAGCATCGCAGCACCTCGGTACCGTGCGTATGTCTGCACGTGTGAGTCTATCGGCCTATTGGCTCCTCCACACACACACACCAAGCACCATCAAGCAGCATTTGTTTACAAAGCAAAGCTGTGGACCGGCTTCGGGGCCCACCTTTGCTTTCGTCGACAGTGTCAGGCCCGTTCAGGCAACCGCTTCTGGATTCGCAGCCGTTATTTGGCCAAGAGAACTTCCACATAGACCCCAGGGCACCCCCAATCAACATTCACAAGCAATGCAATAGCGTCCACACTGCTCGTGGATGTCGCTTACCTATGGCTTTCATGTAGTTGTCGAAGTTGACGCTGTTCGTCAGCCTCCACGTGCCGCAGTACGCCTCCACCATGATTGCGAGCGCGAGGTATTGATAGGTGCTGAGTAAGTAGTACAAACACTGCCTGTGCAGTATCGATCACGACTGGATTGCGGTATCGCAAAGTCCACATGCTTTTAAAGAGCCACTGAACTCCCCATTGGCCATTCGGGACCGCCCCGCCCATCCCCATTGACCTGTGGTGGTGGGTGACCACGCTTCACTCTCGCTCTCCCTGGCTGAAACCACGTTGTCGTGGGATATCGATTGATTTCCACGTGAACTCGAACGATACTTGCACATCTATTGCAATAGATTCGTGCGCGTAAAAATGCACGGTTTTCGTTTCATACAGGTCGCATGCGCATTTGCTCACGTTTATCTTGGGCCCGACGTTTCCACCCTGCCTTTGACATGTCATTCTTAATTTTAATGAAACGTTAACGGTAAAATTTCGAATTAAAGCTTTCGTGACTGCATAGATTCATCTTCTTGGTTCTTTCGGTAAAGTCACGTAGAAGGGAAATAATAAAATAATAAAAATAAACCAATAAAATAATTCTCACGACGTTTCCACCCTGCCTTTGACATGTCATTCCGATTTCGATTTAAAGCTTTCGTGACTGCAGGGATTCATCTTATTGGTTCTTTCGGTAAAGTCACGTAGAATGGAAATAATAAAATAATAAAAATAAAACATTAAATAATGCTCACGACGTTTTGGCCACAACGCAAGCAGCCGTCCTCAGGTGACTTTACCGAAAGAACCAAGAAGATGTCATTCTGCGTTTTAATGAAAAGTTAACGGTAAAATTTCGAATTAAAGCTTTCTGAATCTAGACGCTGTCTTTCCGACAGACCTGTTCTTCACCTGAGGACGGCTGCTTGCGTTGTGGCCGAAACGTTGTGAGAATTATTTTATTATGTTTCAGTTTTATTATTTTATTATTTCCCTTCTACGTGACTTTACCGAAAGAACCAAGAAGTTAACGGCAACTAAAAAAAAACTGGACACCATTAATAAAATGCCGCCACCTACAGGTCATATGAAAGGTTCAACGACAGCAAGACAGGAAAGCGACCAGTTTATTTTTTTAACAAGCACACCATTACATTTCCGAAATACAATCATGAAAGCAGAAAACCGGCATAAGCCAAGTATTTCTGTAAAGCACACCCCTATTCCTCTTATAACTAAGTGCTAAACAAATTACAAACATTCTGACATCATAGAATTCAAAGAGGCGTTTGCAGGTTTTGTGTTGACAACATAACGATGATAGACTTAAGACTCGATTTTGGTAAATGGTTTACTCTGCACGTACTCCAATGAGAATAGTTTTCCCTGCAGGTGTAATTGTTAACAATTTGTACATGAGGATTCCTCTGAACGTGGGGCAATATATATTACAAAATTACATTTCGTGGTGTATTAGCAAAACGTGTACGATTTTGTTTTTACAAATTATCAATCTTTTAAAATAATATTTTTTTCATAAATTGTATGCAGTTTTAAAAAAATTGGCACGTACAAGCTACTACAAATAAGTTATTCTAAAAATACTACGATCGTTTTTTTTAATGCCATTGTAGTGTCCTGGTTAATACATGGTCTCACACAAACTGAAGTCATCAATGAATATTCTCAATCATAACGAACGCATTCTCAAGTCATGTGTAGGGTAGTCAGACCAATGTTACATCGCATAATACTACATATCCTCTTTACATTCTTATTCTAAATAAATGCGCTTTACATGGCCATCAGCAAGCGTGCTTCCACAGTATTACATGCAACTTAAAATGACAAGTGAATGCGAGTTCCTCTACAAAATAAAACACTGAGATAATACGTATTTTTGACACCGTATAACCGCAGGCCAAATGCAAATACATGCAGAGATGGTATATCAAGTACAATTTAAAAAAGCTATATAAAACTCAAAACTTGTTATTTTCTGGCCTATCTATAAAAGTTTCCATAAAGCACTGGATTCTACAGGCAAACTAAGTTTGTACACAGACATATTTACAAGTTACATCTTTAAAACGAAACTTTCAAATATCGGTAAAACAATCTTTGAAATGCAAGGTATACGTGACAGCTCAAATGGGGGGAGGTACATTAAAAAAAATAAGAAACTATGCATTTTCACCCGTTATTAACATGGACCTCACAGCTGCCGTTCCCCACTTGTTTTCAGTCGCAATTTGGCCCAAATAGAATCAGCCACTTTTACTCTCAGCTTCGTCGAACAACCTTGAGTGCAGAAATGCACCTTCACCACACTCAATCAGAAGCTCCACTCTGGAACCCCCAAACTCGTCCTGCCTAGTACAATAACGCACAGCTAGCCGCTTGCGAGCTTTACGCTTTCAAAAGGTAAGGAAAATCATCCATTCATTTTACTTCCTAGCGATTCTTTTTCAAAACTCACATATGAAATCAATTTGCCAGAATTAGTGCGTCCAATTATTTTTCGATTTAAAGCTTTCGTGACTGCAGGGATTAATATTATTGGTTCTTTCAGTAAAATCACGTAGAAGGGAAATAATACAATAATAAAAATAAAACAATAAATATAATTCTCACGACGTTTCGATTGCAACACAAGCAATCATCATGTGTGAAAACCTGATGATTGCTTGTGTTGCAATCAAAACGTCGTGAGAATTTTATTGTTAAATTTGTATTATTTTATTATTTCCCTTCTACGTGACTTTACCGAAAGAACCAAGAATACGTCCAATTATTGTTTCAAACGGGCACCTGCATTGCCACCATCACAATCACCCGCAGACCGATGCCACCATTCTCAGCAAATTACAAACGTACCGCAGTGCTCACGTTCCCCGAGATTACCTGGCTGTCACCACGGACCTGTCTGTCACGAAGGACCACACCGATGTGATTGAGACATTTTAAGTCACCAAACGGAGTTGTACTGGATAAAGGCGTGCAGTCAAGATGCATACAATTGTTGTTTGGTAACATTCAGCAGTATATTACACCAAAACGATAGCCAGCGTTAATAAACTGGCTTGAGGCATCACCAAGCTGTCTTAGTTTGCGTAATCCATTTAGAAAAACGCAAAGCAACATAAGGCATTTTGTATGTATGTGTATGTATGCGTGTGTGTGTATGTATGTGTGTATGTATGTATGTATAACTTATTTTGCACCGCACGTAGCCAAGCGTGCTAATCATACAAGCCAAGATGAACCAGGCCCCAATCTTGGCAATATCCACTTGGCATTGTGAATAGAAAACTGTCAAAAAATTTCAACATTAACTTAAAAACGAATCATGACCATTTCAGAAACCCATACAAGTCACCATAGTCGTGTATCATTAACAAAGACATCGGTGTTAACATAGAGATAGCTGAAAAAATAATCCACTACATCATGGTGTAAAGGATATTCCATAAAGCAATGCACATGTTCGTGGAGGTTAAAGAGCGACATCGAATAAAAAAAACATTCATAATGCCGATGTTTAAACATGAGCGTATTTTCCAGTGTGTTAGAAAGTCACCACATTGTTTAATGTCCGTAAATATTAACAAATGAGCACTTACAAATGTCCATGCCGATATTTTAACTTAATTTTAAATGTCTATGAAAAAATGTACTCAAAGGACTCTTAAATCAATTTTATTATAAAGTGGGTCACTACCAATCTATATTATACACACTTCTGCAAACTCTATACCGATGTCAGTAAAATGAAAATTTTTTCGATGACAATTTTAAACATTTCTTTTACGCTTTGCAGTGTTTACACACCAGAGAAACTGTACAGTCCGTTATATTCAACATTGACTGCTGTCGTCTTGACCAGGGACTCTCAACTGCAGTCATCACAAAGCAGCAGGGTGCAACTTTTCCCTGATTAATTACCAAGGTGGGTGCAGTGGCCTCAGCTGCATACGAATATAAAAAAATATTTGGTAATCGCGAATCGGCTGGGCAGGAGCTGAGAAACACCGGTCGAGACAGTCATGAAAGGCGACTGATGATGAGCGTACCCTTTCCCCACTGTCTTGCATTCCAGTTGAGCATATACATGGTACTATACCAGTTCACATGCAAATGCAGAACCAGCACACCTGTTTAACCACCTGTGCGGCCACAGCATACCAAATGTTACTACAACGAAGAATGACTTCATCGAATGCATTTGTAGATTCACAAAGCCGATACCCTCCAACAGCGGTTCCCAATCTGGAGTTCGCAAGCCTGTGTGGGAAATGATCCGCCCAACTTGCTGCATATTCACATTGATTCTTCTCTCACAAAACACCACACGGTGCCCCGCGAACATCTGTTGAGGGTTGACGGGTGCACGTGGGTCCAGAAAAAATTGGGAGCCACTGCCCTAGAGTGTGTTAGGGCTAAGGGTTGGATGTGGTGGGCTAAGGCTACGGGGCTAGCCTTGATAATGCGCAAAGGAACCCTAATAGCCGCACACTTGCTGCCGTGCGTTAAATTCCACGAGGGAAAGTTGTCAGTGAAAGAGTTCTGCATTACAGCACATCATCGACACCTTTGTTTATGGACAAGAGCAGTGGTACAAACATTGTTCTAGGAAAACTTGAATGCTCATTCAGTGCAAGCTGTACGCGTTTGGAGACCGTGTACCAGAATAGCGCTTTTCTAAACGTCTACCTATATACAGTATATTATTAAACATTCACTTTTGTATTTAACACTCATCAGATATATTTAATTCTGACTCAGTCGGTTTAACAATAGCCTCTTAAGGTTTAGGATACAAATTGTCTATGTTTACCTGTATATCATGTACTTTAAGTGCAGGCTTTATTCAAGTTTAATTATTTTAAAAATCTAATTATTTACTTCCAAATATCGTACCCAGCAGTGGTAGTGACATCAGGAGTCATAAAATACACTGACAGATTTTTGAATCGATAACCTCAATTAAAGCGAATGTGACTGCCACATGGCACATTGCATTTATTATTCATCATTTCAGGCGTGTTACGGGACGTAGGTTTGTTTCCCAATACAAAATGTTACATTTTTAAACGTTTCAAAACTACATGCAGTTATTTTGTTTAATAATGAAACTGACCCGATGCTTTCAATGTTATACGTTTTAAAAAAATAATCGATCAATAAAACATAAATAAAAAAGCTTCCTCATAAGGCTAAGAGGATGGCTCCAGGGTCAGTTGCCATCTTTAGTGTGTGTCAGTGCTTGGGGCCCACAGAAGGGAACAAAGCGCATGGGGCGCCACGGCGGTCCGTGGAGATCCACCGCACCGGGAGCTCATCCCCCGCTACTCCCCTCCATGTCCAAGCGGCACGGAGCAGGAGGACCCCCCCCCCTTCATCACAGTCTCACATTGAAGGGTAGTCATGCTGCTGGCTCCAGCCCCCGCCCCCGTCACGGTTTGTGAAATCTGCACGGACAGAAAACAGCCCAGTCGGTCAATTCGCTCGGACCGCCACGGCCCGGTGCGTCGATTCACGATGACCTCCCTCTCTATGGCCTCGTCTCGAGCGTCATGGTCAGGAGCAGCGGAGAGACATTGGCACTTTCATGGATCCAACATTGGCGAGCGCGACCGCGAGGTCTCGGCCAGGTCCGCGAGAGACCTCTGCCTGATCTCACATTAATGGCGAGCTTCGGGGCTTCTACGCTCAACAAAGCCCCACGGATAGACAGGCACCCAACTTGGCACTCAGTGTAACAAATACCGCTATGGGTGTATTCTCGTGTTACGTGCTTATATCCGTATGTGCGGGGCTTTTAAAAAAAAAAGCATCTCTCGAGTTAATTTGAAACTCTTTGGTGAATTTCGCACTCAAAGCATTTTGATTGCCATGTACGCGTATAGTTTTCACAACGAACCATTAAGTTTCGGTACAGTTTATAGAGTGCACATCAAAATTAAAAAGACACCACGAGTAGATACTTTAAATACTGGAGGGGACACACCTGTGCACCTGAGAATATGAAGTAAATTAAACATGTGTGCCAAATATGATGCAAGATAAAGTTGTTAAAAATCATGACTTTGTGTTTCCACAAGATTAAGCAATGTCTGCATAACATTTATGGCCGATGAACCAGGGTAGTGGAATATTGGTTATTTAGTTACTTATATGGTTGCCACGAGTGTGTAAATTGACACATGCGTGGAAAACAAAGGAGAGAGACCCACGCCACTGCGGAGATGGCGCAATGAGGTCAGTTTACATGCTGCAGCAGCAGCAAGATGGATTGTGCGACGTTTGCAGGGCGGAGGAACACAGTGGCAGACTGACGCTGGTGACCATGCTGGAAGATTGATGGACAACGGGTAACAACAATTTCTGTACACCCGGTGTGTATCCTCTGCACGCAATAAACACAGACGGTGTGCTGACCTGGTGAACATTCGGCTCTCTTCATGCACCTCCATCTCCGTGCTCTTGAACGTATTCAGCTCGCTTCGAATGGCAGCCTGGGAACATGGGGCCAACACGGCGACATTGCAGATTGACCCAGCCTGTTCGTCCGTGCCGTTCTACCGTTAGCATTTGCCAACACAAGAGGTGGCCCCGGTGGCTCAGAGGTGAGAGCCATAACTAAGATCCAGGTATCCTACCTGTTATTAAACTGAGTGTTCACGTGTCGTGAGCGTAGCAAGTTGACGGTTTGAGCCACGGCACCAATTTGGTTCTGCACTTAATTATCCTTCAAATTGTACCTCTGAGAATTCTAATTTTAGTTTGACGGTCACGCTGCGAATATTCATTTAATATGGCAGAGCAGGTGGGAATTGGTGCTATCTCCTACTGTGTGGATCAGATCACTTTCAGGGATGTCAGAGGCAGCTCAATGTGCTCTCCGTTGCCGTGGGCCGTTCTCCAAGGAAGAGTCACCGCTGCTCTGCAAGAGACCTGAATGGATCCTTGGTCTCTTGGCATGACACCAATGGCAAGATGTTAACTACCTCACCTGGTATACTGGAGGTCATGGGTTCGATCTCGACCCTGACACCTGCTGTATATTTGGTGTTTGTACGTTCTCCCGGTGGTCACATGGATTTTTCTCTGGATCCTCGGGTTTTTCTCCCATTTAGAAACATGCGTTAAAGAGTATTTTGATGCTATGAATTCCCACTCGACAAGCCACTTCGTTGAGCTGTCATTTGTGGCCAGGTCGTGCCTGAAAAAGATCTATACAGCTCAGTTGGGGCCTTACCTGGTAAAATAGAAAATAAGTTAAGAACAGTAAAATTCTAGATTTGAAGCTTTCATGACTGCAAGGATTCATACTCTTAGTTTTTCCGGTAAAGTCACGTAGGTAAAAAATGAAATTAAAATTTATACGATAATATTATTAGGTAAAAAATGAAATTAAAATCTATAAAAAAAATATTATTACTTTTATTCATTTTTATTTCATTTTTATCTATGTGACTTTACCGAAAAAACTAAGAGTATGAATCCTTGCAGTCACGAAAGCTTCAAATCTAGAATTAATACCCTCTACGGGGAGGAATTTCACCTATCTGTTAGAGTTTTTAACAGACGAGACAAGAAGTCACAGCTTCGAGACTGCTGGCCTTCCTCAAGAGATGCCGCGATAACAAGGTAATACCCATCGCTTTACCGCATTCTGATAAACTCCCCCCCCCCCTCCTCCCCCTTAACTTGTATTTAAGAACTTGCATCTTGGAATCCCTGCCTCACTGGATACAGCAAATCTAGCTGTGACTGGTCCCACCTGATGACGGAGACTTGTGTTGCGTCCAAAACGTCGTGATTTTTATTATTTTATCTCTATTATTACTTTTATTAATTTTAATTTCATTTTTTTACCTCCGTGACTTTACTGAAAAAACTAAGAGTGTGAACAGTAAAATTGGTGGAAAATGACAAAAATAAACAAACATCCAAGGTGAGAGCAGGGCTTGCGCTGTACCTTGTCGGCGGACGTGAGCCTTGTCCACGGCTTGTCGCCTTTGCGGTCGTAATCCTGGGCCTCGGCCACCTCCACGTAGTCGTTGAAGTGGAGCAGGATCTTCTTCTCACGCAGCTCCTCCACTGTCGGTCTCATGCTCAACTGCACAACGCAACATGGGGAGAAGAGGGCGAGGGGGAGGGGGGGGAGGAGAGGTCACTCGAATGGGACAAATGCCTCGCGCACAATCTAATGCAAGCTTCAACACACGCTGTAGGTCTGATGCGCTCTACCTTAAAAAGGAAACTGCCACAGTGGGACATTCACCTCTTGGGGGTGTAAAGATGTTTGACTTAAGGTGGAGTTCAAGAAATCATCCTGAAAAATGCCTCAACTCCAACATAAGATGTGCAACATAACACAAGCAGGAGTACTCTGAGAGTGGTAGCTAAAGGGACAGGTCTAGGATTGTGAAATCCCTTGTGCAGGACAACAACTCCGCTAAATAAAACCACATTGCCCTGTTCAAGCCAACCACATCAAAAACACCGGGAGAGTTGTGGCTACCGCTCATTGCTCTGGAAGTCAGCAAGCACCACACGACAACATGGGCTTATTGAGCAATCGTGCATCATTCACAAATTGAACCACAGGATGCAGTGGCGTCCTCGACATTCCAGAGCTAAATATGAGAGCCCGCTATTTAACAAGCAGGTCAATCCATGCATAAAGTGACCATTTAGAAGCGTTAGGAATCTCCCTTGCTCTCTGCGTTCGAGGCTAAGCACCTACCTTCCGCGTGAGCCTGCGCTTGAGCTCCTGTTTCGCCTCTTGCTGTTCGTCCTCATTCACCACCGCTGGCGGCAAAACACAACATCATAATTAATTTCATGTCAGCGCAAACATTTTGCTTTACAAAAATGGTTCTGAGATTAATTCGTAGAAATGTTTCAAATGAGAAAAATGGCCGAGCGGCGGCTTTCCGACTGCTACAGATGTTCGTGGTTCAAACCCAGCAGCCGCCTTGGTTAATACTGCCGGTGTATTAACCAAACAATATGCACAGTCTGTTTCACAGTGCACATTAAAAATCCGGTGACGTTATTTTAAAAAATAAGTAGGCCATGTGTGCCAACATCATGGTCCAAATTTGAAAAAGTATCTGTAAATTGCTAAATTACTGAATTGGGTAAAACCACAACGCATCATGGCCACCTGGCTAGCAGACAATATCCATCTTTCAAATTAAGTGCCTTTGTAATAGCCTTGTGCTATGAGGTGAAAACACAACATTTACTAAGTTGTGATTTTTACAATAAAAAAAATAATCAGTGGGTTGTTAAATTACGAAGGAACAAGTTTGGCTCCATTGTACTCGCTAGAAGTGAAGCGCATACGTTTCAGGATGTTTCGTTGCAGCAACTCGGCAGCAGACGGTCTCTGGCTCAAGCGTCTGGGAAAACACAGAGAGCACTGGTGACGGCAAGTCCAGGCCTCCCTCGCACAAGGACAGCAGCACACACCTTGCCCGTCGCACTTTTCTTACCAGCGGCAGCATCCACGTCTCTCAGCATATCGTGGCATGCCAGCCAGTTCAGTTTAGTAACTACTGTAGAATTGTATTGTGCGTTTGGCTTGTGATTTTTAGTGGTTTACGTGGCGGATTTTACGTTTCCGTTATGCACCCATGTCTCGCCCACCGACGTTGAAATTGTCAGGATGGATGGAATATTAATATCCTTCCAAGGCTGTACACGTAAGCTAAATTCGGTGTACTTGTAAATACTGGGGTTTTTGTAAAAAAGAAAAGAAAAAGATATGCCTGGACACTTCACCATGCAGTTTGCACACAAATATCTCCAAGGGCAGTGTACATCACAAACTCGGAGCACCACCTGGCCTCGTCATTGAAAAACACAGCCCAGCCGCTGTCACGCGTTGGGCTCCGTACCGGGTCAAGGTGTTGCCGATATTCATGCGCATCTTCAGCCGCTCAAGGTCTGCCTGCCCAGGGGAGAGGTTCTTGTTCTCCTGATCCTTGGAGGAGGATTGCTGGCCAATTAAGATTGCGAGAGAGTCTTTGCGTGCGACCTTGCTTGCAAATGCACCTGCGAGACACGTGTTGGTTCATTGTGGTGAGCTGCAGCATATGTTGGCGACTTGTGAACATCTTAATTAAGAGAGTTGTTTGCAGGGATTGCAATTTGTAACATTGTCATTTTTCTTTGATTAAGTCCTTCCGTTCACAATCCATGCAACAAATTGTTTGTGAAAGAATAAAGTAATTTCAATTCATGGAAATGTTATTCAAGTAATGAACGAGTAGAAACAACTTTTAACGCTAGAAAGAACAAATGTGAAACAATACGAATGAGATGGAGAGAAACGAGATGAAAATAACATACCCCCCTTCCAACCCAGCTTAAATATACGCTCGAAGCGTGGTGGTGTTTCATTCAGACGGTGTCTCCCCGACAGACCTGGTTTTCAACTGAGAACAGCTGCTTGCGTTGTGGCCGAAACGTCGTGAGAATTATAATATTATTATGTTTTATTTTTATTATTTTATTACTTCCCTTCTACGTGAATTTACCGAAAGAACCAAGAAGAAGAACATACCCCGAATTGACAATTATTTAAGGGGTGAATCATTTAATGCCTTCTGAAATTATACATTAAGTTGTGTTTACCTCCATTAGCAGGGATTGTCTCCAATGACTCAATAACACATTGCAACTAATGACACTACTAGCAATACATATCTGTGTATATAATGAGGCTTAAGCGATTGAAAGTGACCAGTGTTGGTGCAACTTCCAACACCGTCTCAGGACTGCCAGCAGAGGTGAGCAATTCCACACGCTCATTTGAGAAGGAAGAAACTTAGCAATTTTTACTTCACAAGCAAAAATATTAAATCATGGCTATCACGAGCACATGTCAGGTGACGACTCATAAACCATTTAAAAGTGATTTTAAATCTATACAAAATAAAATTTTCATACTTGTGATTGGTACATCCTCCTCTTCCCCTTCCTCATCGTTCTTGTAGAGAATCGGGCCATCGTCAGAATCGGAATCCGACTGCGAGTGATCAGCATCCCCCTGCATGGCCGCCTCTCCCCCTCTTTCTTCTTCGCCGCCGCCGCTGTCGTCGTGATGATCGTCGTCGCCCGCCTCGCCGGGCTCCGGTTCCGGGGCCTTCACCACCACCTTCCGCCCCGGCGGCGGCGGCGGCCCGAATTTGAGCAGCTTATTCAGCTCGCTGCTGAAGTTCTTGGGCTGAGACTGCAGCAGCAGACCCTGGGGTTCGCACGAGTGGCCGGACGGCGTCGACTCCTGCGAGGGCGAGGGAGGCTGGCAGGGCGTCGGGGCGTGGTGGGCGTCGCTGGGGTGACCTGGCGGCACGCGGTGATGCGTGGCGGGCGAGCGTGACTGCGCGTGGTACACGTGCGATTTACTGGGCAGCTTGGGGGAGTCGGTGCTCTGAGACCGCATCGAGGCGGGTGGTTTAGGGTGGACGGCCGGAGGCGCAAACGGAGGAGGAGGCTCCTCGGGTTCCGAGAGGTTTTCGCTGTCTGGATGTGGCGGATGGCTCTGATCCTGTGGACGCGAGGATTCATTGCGTCTGGGAACGCCTGACGCGTTCACAGAGACCTTCTTCGGAGGAACTGGAGGGGCCACGGATGGCGATGGGGCTGCGGTCGAATCCCCTGCAAAAGAAAAGAAACGTGCCACTGCATTCCGTTCACTTACAGTAAATGACAGGTGTGATAATGGAGACTTCATACAGTTTTAATTCAACATTGCTCTTGGAAAATACACTTCCTGAAGAACATTATTACATCATCCGATTTAATTAGAAATGTAAAAGTATAAAACGGAAATCTTAGGCGAACTTCACATTGCCAGACGTTAGCGGTACAATAAACGTTTTATGACAAACATCGTGAAGGCTCGAAACCCCGGCCGTGTGCGCGAGCGCCTCGAGGCAAGGTCCACTCACCGGCGTGGCCGTCAAACCCGGAGGAGGTTGACTTAGGGGGTAAAGGCGGAGGTGGAGAAGTGATACGGGAAGGCAAGCTGCCCATCAGTGAGCTAGGATTGGGGAAGAATGATTTTTGAGGTAACAGGGGAGGACCATTCCCCGCCTGGGTGCGTGGGAACGTCCCCCACGCAGGGTCACCGCCGTTCGCTTCTGCGTGAGGGGTGGCGGCGTCAGAGAAGAGGCGGGGGGGGGGGGGAAGCGTTAAGGGAGTTGGAAGGAGTTGGGCAGAAAATGCAGGGGAGGGGGGAAAGGGTGAGTGAGGTTTAGTAGGAGAGATACCAGACTACACCAAAAAGCACCACATAACAAGCAAAATCCCAAACTATCTGCAGAGACTCCCATGCAAAACAGTGATGTAAAGTCTTTACTATTAAACTGTTTATACGATAGGCTGAATTGGATTCCCCAGTCAAAGCTAGCATCAGTGGCAAGTGAGAGACAAAACATCGACACGTCTCTCTCTCTAAAATGTAGCAATCTTTGGAATTACGTAATCAACCAGGTAGGGTGTTGACTGTTGTGTTGGCCGACTCTCTTTGTTGCACTGCATTATATTTCCAAGTTTACTATGTTTGTTTTCTCATTAATTTGTACCTGATGATGGTTGATTGTGTTGCAATCGAAACATCGTATTCTATTATTATTTAATTTCATTTATTTCTACGTGACTTTATCGAAAGAACCAAAGAGTTATTCCTGCAGTCACGAAAGCTTCGAATCTAGTTTTAATCTCATGTAATTCAAATGCGTGGAACAAAATCCACCACCAATTTCACTGCAGAGATTACAAAACGCACTGTATTGTTGTAATTACCCAACTCCTGCATGAGTGGTTATGCTTTCATTAGGCTACAGATTGTCTCAGCAGATAGCCTATTGATTCGGCAAAAACTCTTTTGTATGATGAAAATCCCATTATCCGTATCGATATGGAGGGCATAATAATATAATCTTGTTAACCGCGTTTATCCACGGAAAGTTCCCATTAATCTGAGTGGGAAAGCACATTTGCTGGCGACTTATTTGTGCAAAGGCGTGGATAACGGGAAAAAATCCGCATGCGGATAATATTACCTTGGGCTCTACTCATTCATAAAAACGGATGACATAGCTATTTGACGATAGGGATACGGATAAGAAGAGTTCATTGTATTGTCATGCATTCAGTACTCAAAGATACCATCACCAAACAATTAACCAAACAAAACCACCACAACAGGGTGACATAAACAACATTACCATGTGAATACTTACCATGTGCCGTTATTCTATTGTTATGTGGGGGGATACCAAAGTGAGTGTAGTTATAATTGGGAGGTCAAGCTATAGAATCCAAATATAATAATTATTGTTTTCATATTCATGCTTTCCAAATCCGGTTCTGGGCCACCCCTTCACCAACCCACATGAAGCAGCGTGGCGAAGTATGGTCAAACAACCCCAGTAACGAATGCAGCATGGGGGGGGGGGCAGGCCTACATCCATCAATACAACAACAGGGGGCTGAAAATAATTGTCATTAATTTAATTCACGCTCCACTGCTTTGCCACTGCCAGATGGGATGCGAGACGGGATTGGTTTAGCCGGAGGGTGAGAGTGAAGCCGTTCGCGTAGCAGTGTCTATTTCTTTCCACGAGGGGGTGCTTTGCAAAGTAAATTTGTAAAGTATCAGATGTTATTGGTCCACGATACATCACCCTAACCCAGGCTCAAAGACTTGCTCATTTCCTTGCCTTTACAGAATGCGTTTGTTCACTATGCAAGCATATACAATTCCAGATGTTGTATTGTTGTCTTTACAAAATGATAAGATAAATATATATTGAATGTCTACATTTTCTCAAATAACCACCGCAGTTTAAAATCAGACGTTATTTCTTCTATCATAGCTGCAAAGCCTCAGTTTTAAGTATGCAATGGAGGGTCACAATTACAACCACTGACCACCATACACAATATAACATGATCGCCATCACAAATTCCCTATGAACTGTACACCGATGTCTCTCGCTTGCGCTGCTGACCATTTGCTTTATATACGAGGCTACACGGTATTCTGTTGAAAGGGCAGAAAATCAACAAAATCACAAAGGACCTCTTAGGAGCCTTTAGGGAAGTTTGGCCCCATGTCAAGCACGTTGCCGTGCTACATTTGTAACTAAAACAGCTGTACAATGTCTGCTAACGCTACTATTCTGCGATCGCAACTCAAACAGGTGCAACTACGGTGATGAAAATCAAAGCGTAGAGACAACAGGAGATAAACACTCGGTGCATTATTTTTCAATCGGCGCATCACATACGGGCCCTCTTGGAGACACCATTTCATTAGACCCCAAACTGGCCTCAACCACCTGTAGCGCTGCAACGAGGCCACATAAATCCACTCAATTTAATTAAACATGCATTGTAAGTGCAAAGCCATCACCAGGGCACTATTACCCGTCCCGTGCTTCTAAAGTGACATCAACGCGCTGTGCCAGGCAGTTGCTCTCACCGGGGGCCTTGCTCTGCCTCCGCTCTTCCGCACGCTCGGCCCTCTTCGTCTCGCCACTCACGGCAACGTCCCCTTCTGCCGCGGGGCCAACGTGGATGGACGTCCTGGGGCAGGGGACCGGTTTGACCGCAGGGACGCTAACGAGGGCGGCCGGTGGCGCGGCTTCTCCTCCGGCAGCCTTGGGCTCGGCACTCTTGGCTCCGCCGGGCTCAGCGGTGGCGGTAGTAGCGGCGGCGGCAGCGGCGGTGGCGGCCCCGAGGGCTGATTTGCGGTCGACTTGGAGTCGCGCGTGCGCCGGGAGCGGGAGGGCCACGGATGCCCGCATGGACGGTCCCGGCGAAGGCTTCTCAGCCACGATGTACGGCTCAGATTTGGGCCGGACCTCCGCTGGGGAGGGCTGCGGCTCCGGCTGCTCGAGTCCATGCTGGGTTTGCGCTTCCTCCCGACTCTTCACGTGCCCGTTGCCAAGCTCCGGCTGCTCCGGCTTTTCTGGCTCCTCCTCGGGAAGGCTCGGCAACACGGATGGAACCCCTGTTACCGGCGGAGAGGAGTAGTTTCCCACACATACAATCGTGTCTAGAGACCAATGCTGCATGCATTTTTGCGTATTAATTTTATCCCTAATGTTATTTGAATTTCACCCTTTAGTCACTCCTGTATTTTACAAAGCGGTGACTCGTGGGAACTTAACATCCTCGAATTATGAAGCTTATATTACGCGTTATCCCACACATGGTACACACATTGCTGCTCAAGCCGCTATTGGCAGAGGCCTCCTCCTATTGAGAATCATCTTCCCTGTGCTTGAACAATGATTATAAAGGTTACGAATAGGGGGCAGGTGGCAATTCTTACCTCTCATGTCATCAACACAGGGGATGATGTGCGACTAACCAAACAAATTATTTGGCGATACTGCATCGGCAGTGGTGCACAAGCACAAACACCAAAGAAAACCCAACACGTTTGTCATAACACTGTGGCCTTCATGGGAAAATATTAAATATGTGGCATTTAGAGCAATGGCCTTCTACATCGCACACTGTATGAAGAATGGCCTTTGCCAGAAACTTCGGCGATTAGGCTTTTTTTACTTTCACGGCAGTGTAATTCACGAACGTGTTGTGTTTTAATTCTCCCTTCTGTAGGACTACCGGTCAACGTATTGTCTCGTACTCAACAAACGGCTTCGTAACCAATCACATCCAAGGCTGCATATAGTGTGTACGTGCGGAGGACAAGTTTGTTGACGTTCGGTCTGCGATAGACGCTCCGAGCATACCCGTTTCCGGAGAATCCTGCAGGAGGCCTTTCTTGATGAGCTCCTCCCGAGGCAACCTCGTCGAAATCTTTCTCTCCAACTCTGCCAATCACAGAGCCAAAAAGAGACAGAATCATGCGGCGATTAATTTTGATTTGATTAACCCGTCGACCTGTGCCTCCTATTTATAGACATGGCCAAGGCACCATCTGCAGCTGTGCATTCAATACGGGCAACATTTTCTATTTTTGACAGGGGATTTAAAAACAAGCAGGCCTTCCGACAGAAAAATCAAGGCCGATTAGATTACACTTATTTGGAACCTGCTAAAAACATTCTAAGACAATTCACTTTCTTTGGAAACACTCCAAAGCACTACATCTTGAACTATTACACAAGGAAACAATATATATATATATATGCTGTGCAATAGATTGTTTATTGTAATGGAGTGGCCGCCAGAGAATGAAACATGTCCGAGAGAATGACCACTGAGGCAATGGAGAGATGAAATCAGTTTATGTGCCAGTCCTGGATGGATTGTTACATCGCAAGATCAGGAAAGGTGGTGGTGGATTGGGGAGGCCTTGATCCAGCAGTGGATAGACCATGGCTGATGATGATGAGACGTTATGAAGGGGAGCACTGACGCAGTTGTTAGCGCACTATGCTAGGAACCCAGCACACTGTCAGTGGTGAATGAGACCCGAACCGGTCCTGGGTCCTCCCTTCACCAACCCACATTGACCAGTGTAGTGAAGTATGGTCAAGCAATCCCCACGACCGGCATGCCGTGGAGAGGCCGTAACCCAGCCGTGGATTGACAAAGAGCTGTTTATTTTATATGTATTTGTTTAGACTGTCCATGCTCGTGGGAGCAAGGAGACACTTTAACTTGGTCTTATATCGCGCACGTACATTTTACAGTCTAATACTGCGGTATAAATACCCAGCAGAGAGCAGTGCAACAAAATCTATTGTCTTCACTCGCCACCATCAACCCGCACTACCAGCATGGAGGATGGTCAATTAACCCCCGATGGCCAGCACGGCCTGGAAAGGCCCTAATCCAGTAATGGACTGACAAAAGGGCTGTCTGTACGTGTTTGTCCAACACTTGCACACAAAGCCATCCACAAGCGAGGGAAAATATTGTATCCAATCGTTTCATTTGCTTGGCTGCGTCAGGTAATAAGAGGGTCTCGTGAACACAAATTTGCCCAGATCATTTCATGGTCCAATCCCAAAAAAATCCATTGCAAATCGTGCGAGAGCAACGTTCATTCTGCAGCCCTTACCAGCCGAGGTCTCCTCGAACTTCTGACTGTGCTTCTTCTTTTTCCACTTCCAGTGGAAGAGTTTGCTCAGGCCGCTGGCGAGCTTGCCCTTGCGCCGTGCGGGCGGCGTCTCGGCCTGCGCGACCCCGTGGGGGTCTGCCTGCGTGGCCACCGCCCGGGAGCCTTCCTCTGCTGCAGCGAAACACCCAGCGGACGAGGAGGGACAAGGGCGCGGCGGGACAGAACAGGGGGTTCAGACGGCGTCCACCTCACGCCGAAACTTTATTTGTTATTTTACCAAGGTAAGGCCCACTGAGCCATGTAGCTGTTTTGCAGAAGTGACGTGGCTATCAGAAATGATAGCTCAGCGAAGCGGCTTATTGTCACGTGGAAATTTATAGCGGCCAAATACTCTAAACGTGGTTGTTTCTAAATGTGTAGAGAAAAACCAGAGGACCCGGAGGAAAATCCATGCGACCACAGGGAGAGAAACGCAAACTTTAAATATACAGCAGGTGTCAGGGTCGAACCAACGACATCCTGCATACTCGGCGAGGTCGTTAACATCTTGCCACCGTGGCGCCCAAGCTAGTTGCAGGCAAATGTACCCATGAGACGACTGTTGACTTGCATTCACCGTGGTGTTCATTTGATCAAACCTAGAGGGATGATGGGTTGCGAGCCGTTTCGTACGACCGCTGACCCACCTGGTGACTAAGTGCTGTAACACGCATGCCGTGTGTCAGTGGCGAGGTTTTATTCACTTGTATGGCCGGACAGAACAAAGCAAGCCAGGCAGAACAAACAGCTGTCAGAAATTAATTCTTCTACCTTATCATGGATATTACCGTCACGTTTTTTTTATTTACCACGTTTACATTTGACTCTTTTATTGAAGTGCCATTTATTGGGGGAGAAAAGTCATTTTTTAAATCAACAGGATATAAACACGTATATGTCCTTCAGAAAAAATGCGATATTTTATATTTTAAAATATATTTTTGGACACTATATGTTTCTGATTACAGTACATAGTGCAAGTGCATTTTGGACACAGTGAATATGTTAAGTCGAAATAAGCTGCAAGTGATTAATTCTATCGAATAGATTCTTCATTGAAAAATGGTGCAGTTACTCAACTCACACGAATGCATCTTGATTCAAACAAGAGTAATGATTATCTGCTTGCCGACAGCACAACGCATCAATTGCATCATTGCCCTGGAGTAAAGCTGAACGTGTCAACACGGAGGTCTGTTCAATAGGCGATGTTGTCACTGCCAGGGGGAAGGTTCAACTTCACGCACCCATGGCAACCAGAAGCAGCCTTGTGTTTTCATTTCATATCATGTACACAAGCAACCATTACAAATGTGTGCCTGCCTACACTGCATCACCTGATATTATGCAATTTCAAGTATTATGCATAATGCTGTTGTATAGGGCCAATATACTTGCAATTTACCTTCATACATTACTGTATAACTATATATTGCACTATAAATACAATAACAAATAAACATGGTATAAGATTCAAGGTGAGCATTGCACACTCTTTTTCTTTCAAATGGCTTTTTGGGGTATTGCAACAGATTACAAATCAATGTCTAGATGTGATATCCATTCGACTGCTTCAGGACATTGTGCACATACGACTGCATGCAGAGGGGATTCCCCCCTTCCAATGGTAAAACGTCGTACAGTATCGTATAAAGTTAAAACAAACAAACACTTAAACAAATTAGTAACCAGCGGCACTGAGCAATCATCCACGTGGGAGTTCACAAGTGGCCCAGTGAAGTGACAACGCGTTGAGGACGCGCGAGGGGCACTTCTGGCAGATGTCCCTTCTCAGCCACACGTCGTCCAGGGGGAGTGCGTCAATGCTCGCGTTGCTGCCCTGTGCGATCCTCCAACACAACCTCAAGTGTTGACACTCCAGCATCAACACTGTGCTGCTGCTCACAAGCTCCGAGCAGCGGCAGATTCTCTGTTCACCTCTTCTTCGCTCGCGTCACTTGTCACGGAGCTATCGACCCTCCTTTCGCCGTATTCTCCGGATTGAGTCACGTTTACTTTTTCCCCTGCATTTGTATGACTTTAATGCATCAGCGGCGTCTTGGAATCAGGCAGTTGTGAGCGTGTGTGTGTGACCAGATTTATATGACTTTATGGATACCGGGCACAGGTTTGGGATGTGTCTTAGTTTCCGGAGCGTTTTGTAATAATCTGGAAAAAAAACAGCGCTGTATATGCAGCTATCATCTGCAAAAACAAATCCAGATGTCCAAGCGGATATATTTGGAGATAAGTGCAGATAGCAGGAAGAATATCACAACTTTGGGGACTCCTCTCATATCTGAAATAATGTAGATAAACGTATCCACGAGGAGAAGGGCCTCTGAAAAACATACTACACTGTAGCGTCAAAGTACAAAATGACTCCTTGGTTCTTTCGGTAAAGTCACGTAGAAAGAAAATAAATTAAATAATATAATACGACACTATGTGTGTGTCCATGTGTGTGTGTGTGGTCTCTCTATGCTTGTGTGTCTGTCTGTCTCCGTGTCTGTGTTTTGTCTCTCAAATTTAGCAATCTTTGGAAGAACGTAATCAACCGGGTAGGGTGTTGGCTGTTGTGTCAGCTGACTCTGTGTTGTGTCACATTGTATTTCTAAGTTTACTAGGTTTGTTTTCTACCTGATGACGATTGCTTGTGTTGCAATCGAAACGGCGTATTCTATTTTTTTTATTTATTTTCTTTCTACGTCACTTTATCGAAAGAACCAAAGAGTAATTCCTGCAGTCACGAAAGCTTCAAATCAAGTTTTTACAAAATTAGTATTGCCTCTGGAGTGATGTATTTAGTTTGCTAAGTGACAGACATAACCTTATCCTTTTACAACTGTAATCAATTCATCTCTGAACAGGCTATTTAAAATCATTTTAAGTGTTTCCGCCTCTGCTATTTTTGTTGATTTTTTTCTGGTATTTTTCTGAAGAAACCGAAAGGCGGGTCCCGCCGTAAGAAACCTCTGCCTTCGCAAAACTCAGCATTTTGCACAATAGGTTTCTGCTGAAGGTCGCAGATTTTCACGCGAGATTTTAAATAAATCAAAAACAATACAAGTCAGTGATGCATGACAGTCATTGGTGAAAACCACTGGACTGACAACACACTTTCCTTTTTTTATTTATGGAAAATATAAGCACATTTTCCCATATGCATCAGGAGCTAGAATTTTACATTGAGATTCACCATTAATTTCTTTTTTTTGTTAAAAAGCATTCCACACTCAGTCAAATCGGAAGCGAACTACATTTTCTTCAGGTTAAGTTACATCTCAACCCAAAACTACAAGAGATTAACTTTTTAACATTTTTATCTGAAATGCAATTTTCCTAAAATCTCAATTATTTTACAAAGCTTTCATTGTTCAAGATAAATGCTCCATGTAATTGTCTGAGAAATTAAAGCATTCTGTGAATCTTTGACAAAATTGTCAAAACATTGGAATTACAATTCTGGAGCGTATTTGTTTGAACGTATGATGTTTTAGAGCTCTATGTCTGCATGTTTACGCTTCTGAGCATTTACTCCTGACATTCGTATGAGGTCTACGAAGCAAGCCCAATATTTTCACATGATTTTGTAAAACTCATTCTCATGCAGTTTCATATGCACATTGTTGGCAGATGGGTCTCCTCTAAAGGCTGTTCTAAGGAGGCCCTCTAGAGAGGTGTTTTGGCCTACTCTTCCAGGGTGGTCAGACATCTTGAAAGTGATTCATATATCACGTACACATTGTGAATTTTAAAAATATCTCTTGAGCTATATGCTGGTGCAAGTTTAATCGCTTGTATTGGCTGGAAAGCCAGATCAAGTCAATTTGTTAAACTAGGTGAGAACAAATGGTCCCGGTTGAAAATACACGCAAACATTTTGGTCACAACGAGAACAGCAGTGTTATTTAAGGACCTGGCTACGCTTATAAGGCATGTAAAACATAGTAGGGCAATGCCTGTTTAAAAGGTAACCGATTAAGAATGACTGCAATCTCTAAAGGAGGAGCATCCGTCACTCAAGCTGTGTATGCAACCTGCACCTTGATCACGATTATCATTGCCATGGTAGTTCCACTGCGAGAAGGCCTTCCCAAGTTGCAGCAAGCATTCCACACCGAGGACAACGGCATACAACTTGACGTACAGTTGAGTTACCCTGCACGCTCTCTCTCAGGCTTCCTAGCAAACCATCATTCACGTGGCCTTGCCGCTATGACACAAACTCACGCAGACTCGCCGTCAGTCCTCGCATACCCCATCTAACTATTTGCATACAAGGGTCTCGGACATTCAACAATGAACATTCAATGTGGTGCACATGTACCACGAGTGTCTGCTGATGGGCTACTGATAAACACATTGGTATGTGTGCCCTAAAACTTCATAGCTACGCTATGGTTGCACAATTTTAAATGGCAATAAAAATGCATAGGTGCACTGTATACTGCGAGCATATACAGAGGCCCATAACTGGGGGCAAGGTTAAATACTAACCCCGACAATCAACATGATTACTCATTGCAGTGATTGCTACTTTGACCTATACTAAAAAGAGCAATCTTTATTTAGCAACGCGGCTAACACTAAGATTCATTGAGGGCACTGCATTTGTCACCACCATTATCAGTCCCTGCTGGAGGAAGGCCACTCAAAACCGCCGGCATCTCTCACGCAAGGTCCCACGGTGCAACAATCAATCCAGCACCTGCTCACAAGCTTGTTTCATCGCTCCGTCTCTCTTCTGTGGTGACATTACTCTCTGGCACGTTGCCGGCGATGTGGCTGCCACGACATCGTGAGAGTTGACCACCGGTCATCGTACCTTCATGTGAGGTGTCCTGGCCAAGCCCCCACTCTTACTTTGTTTTTAACAATCAGTGAGTACAATGTCTCTTTCTGTCTCTCAGTCTAATTCCAACGGTGGGCCTGTCCATGATTATTGTGCAATTCCCAGTTTTTGTTCGTTTCGTTGTCAATGTTTCTGATCCATGTCATTCGAAAGTCAAACACGATTATTCATTACTGTGGTGTTTAAAGGGCACATTGGTAAGCCGTTGCTTTTCATTGCGAAATTCACTTTTCCCAAATCACCTGCTCGTCTGTCCCTTTACAGCAACAGCTCTAGATTTGAAAAAATATAAATTCTGCGTGTTTTTTCAGTTGTTTCTGCAAATTGCAGACAACCGCTTTCACACTAAGACGAAATTAATTTATGATAGCCAAGTATTTTCAACGAACAACAGCCACTGTGCCAAGTCAACCACGTCTATTTTTACAGGTCAGCTGTCAACATGAGCGTACTGGGGCACGTGGGTGACCCAGAGACATAATCGCGGATATTAATTTTATCCGATAGCCATGCCAATATATAGGCTGTTGGCATACATAGACTACGTATATGGGACACACGCACAACAGTCCAAAATAAAATAAAAATGATCTTGCATGCATAATTCATATCAAGCAATAGAAAAGCCTCATCACACTGTCTGCATTGGGTGCTGCTAACCACCACTGGTCATCCAGAATCAGTGGTGCCATTTCCACATTCCTATGCCAGAATGCAGTGTGTGTCCACATAGCAACCGACCTCTCCTGGCTTCCACTCGTGCTGTGAAATGTGACGACGTGGGGCTGCTAATTTTACCAGTCCGAGAGTGAAGAAGTGTTGACCGGACCTTGGCGTGCACAGTACATTAGCACGTCAATGTTTACACATGGGCTATTACGTGTTCACTATGTATGCGTCAATTGACACCTGGGACACCCTTGCAAATGAGACGTTCCATCTGAAGATATTTGCCAGATTAAATCCTGGTATTTTGTGATTAGCGAACCCCGCAGGATTTGGCGTGATGTTTGATATGCGCTACATCCCTGCACACGCGGCTAACGGACTCGACCTGAGGCTTCAGTGCTGATGATGCCAGTGGCACTTGAATGGTGTGAGACACGTTGCTTTCCCTCTAATTCTTCGCTACTCAGGGTCTGCAATATTATGATTTATTCTCCGTAATGTTCTCTTTCACCAAGGTCCTTTGCGGGTCATTCTCGTAAAACCCGTGTCAAAAATCTCAATCTATTAATAAACAAAGTAACCACGCAGTCCTGAATACTGCACTCCAAAGCCGTAAACACTCAATTATGGCATGCAAAGAAAGAATGACCACAGCTTAAAATCCAAATACCAACACGATGACTATTTTATGTCACGTGTGGAGCACACGTGAGTCACCACGGTGTCTGGTGATAAACGCGTAGGTGCGCATGGGCCACTGAGACAGACAGCCTTCAACACAAGCCGTACACGTGGGCGTGCGGAACACTTCTGACGCCGATTAATGTCCCTGTACAAGCGGTCACGTTGTGAGCTGCGATCACTGATGAAGTCAATATCCCCAGCTCCACCAGAAATGTTACAAGCACCCTTTTGGTCGGGCAAAATCTAACTCTGCAGCAAATATCGCATTGTACCAGGATCAGCATGCAGTACGATACAGCGATGTACGGTGCTTTCAAATGTCATGCCAGTCGAATGCTGCTAATCCAGGAAATCACTGGGCGCACCTATTTTTCCTCCATATTTGTAGATTGCGCAACACTTTACATCACACCGCATCAATACTTTCTGTCGCTGACATTGTTTGAAATGCTTCTCCTCGAATTCATTTAAAGCAGTTTCTTTTCCGTACCAAAGTAAAAAAAAATCTACGCATTTACACAAACTTATAAAAACACCTTTCACCTGAGTATTGCGTACGTTTTTGCTAAACTGGAGTAAGCCAGAAAATATTCCACCACGACTGACTTGAACCTGCATTCATCGCGAGTACTCCGACTACAGCACTGTAAAAAGGCATGCGCAGGACCAATGCTGCATTATCCACTTATTTAATAGGGCACAATGGTGGCGCGATGTTAACTACCTCGCCTGCTGTGCAAGAGGTCGTGGGTTTCCATCGCAACCCTGATGCCTTTATAGTTGGAGTTTGCGTGTTCTCCCCGTGGTCATGTGGATTTTCCTCCGGGTCCTCCGGTTTTTCCCTTCACATTCAGAATCAACATGTGTTTAGGGTATTTTGGCTGCTATACATTGCCACATGATGAGCCACTTCTTTGAGATATTATTTGTGGCCAGGTTGCTTCTGAAAAAGAGCTATATAGCAGCTCAGTCGTTCTTGCCTAGTATGTTTCATTTACTAACCATGCGCTTTGTCAAATGGAAGCATTTGCCTTTGCTTGTGGGGAAATGTAATTTTGTAATTAATAAGGGGCCCATTTTGGCCTTTTCCACAGTCGCGACCCTTAAACAATGGAACAAAAGGCACTCACAGCAATCACTACCAAGCAAGGTCTACTACTATAGCCCCTGAATTTGACTCTACACCCTCACAGGGGGGGGCGGGTTAAGGAAGTATGGCTGTTTGTGTAAATTGTTCATGGTACAATGAGTGACCACAGACCATAACTATGTGACAAGTGGTTTCCTTTCATGTTGTCATGCTGCGTGTTATATTTAACACAAGAGTCAGTTTTTTATATGCTGCCATTGTGAAGCATAAACTGGGTGGAGGTAGTAAAAAAATATATACCTTGTAGATTGACCACTAAATTTAGATTTTAATTGACAGAAGCGACCTGTTTGTCCGTTGTAACATCTTTACTCAAAGTGCAAGGATATATATTGTTCGGACCGACATGGAGTGGGAAGGCCTTCATCCACCTCCGATTAGCGCGGGTGGCTACGTAAATTGTGAAAGAACTTCAACATACAAACAGTGGATAGATAAAGAACTGTAAATGACCACATTAAATGTTGTCCACAGTACAACAATACGAATATCATTATATCAGTAGATATATTGATGGAAATGCTGCAATCAGTTGTTTGTAATTGCATTAAGCACATAGCGGACAGAAATCTACTTTTATAGTTTGTACCCTCATGCCAAACAAACTCTTGATGGCCTTCACCTTGTTACTGATTGTCAAAAATGCATTTCATAAAGAGTTAATGCTTACTTCAAGTTTGCTGCATTGCCATGCAGGCGTCTCGGAATAAAATGAATGGGTAACAGCTGAGGAGTGCAATAGCCGCTTCAAGGAAGTGTGGCGTGAGGGTCACAAATAAAGACACATGCACCACTCTTTTTGCCGGCCATGGGACACTTATAAAGACGGTAGTGTAGTCGATGTATTTTTAATCGGACTGCTTAACCTCGTAGCACATCCAACAGACACAAACTACTACACAGCACTCGGCTGTAATTCCGCGGTTTGCAAGCAAACATGTGAACCCACCGCTTGTTACAAAACAGCAGCACCCGTCTTTTTACATTCCTGTACGCCATGCAAGTCGTTTCTCGGTTCTGTTCTGCTCAGACACACCCCAACCCAAGCTTGAAAAACAAATCTGAAAAGTATCTGCGACTAAACACACACAAACACACAAACACACATATACAACATCGTGAAGTCTGCACTCTTCGTTTTAACAGCTAAGTGTAAATGTCAAAACACGAGTCCACCGCTTCGCTACACCGTAAAGATGTCACACGGGAATCCGTGAGGACAGCATGACGGGCGGTGTTTTTTACGAGATACACCAAACCTGAAACGCTCTGTGGGATTCGTCACCAAAGCCGCACTGAAAACGCAGTAGGTAAATGCAAATGTTAAATGCCCTGCTGCTGTTGCAATGAACAAACCAGTGCACACGTGTGTGCAAGTGCTCTGTGTTGGCGATGAAAAAGTAACCCGGCTGCGTACCGTTGCAATATTTTCCTTAAAGAAAATAAAACTCATCTCATCGGGTCTTAGAAGGCAAAGCAGGTTTGGAACCTGGGCAGGTCGTCACTACGCGGTGGACAGCAGAGGGGGGGGGGGGGTGCAGCAGAATCCATTGCTGAACGTCACTTCTATGCTTCCACATCCACTCTCTCTCTGCCGTCACAATCCACATTGACCAACGTGGCGAAGTATGGCCAAACAACCCCCTCGGTGTGTGGGGAGGCCCTCATCCAGCAGCAGACTCACACAAGGCCTGTAAAAGACTGTACACGCGACATCCCACCACTGCTCTGTAATTACACAATAAAAATGAACGCTGATTCTCTGATTAAAGTTAACTGTGCGCGCAAAGTGCTTTACGATTTAAATTGCTTAACGCAGCCCTGTACTGGTATGAGAAAAGAATGCAGAACACTCTACATATACTACATTGGACTAATGTACTGTACCCTAATGTGTATACAGCACTGTGTGGACATGACAATACTTTACAACGCACACCTGTGCTAGGGATTGTTATACGGCATAGACACTTTCTCAACAGGCCTATATTTGAGACACTATGTCAAAATAACAATACAAAGTACACATTTCCGTTAACAAAAATGACACACGCACAATGTGTATCACGTAACAAAACCCTTAATGAATATAAAATGTGTTACTGGATGGACACGTGAATACACGATAACAACTGTTTTCAGGAATCAGGGTGGCCAAGGTGCTCAACTCTGTGTGAAAACACACAACTCAATGTACAGGTAGCCACCGACAGCGCACAGGTAACCACTAACACTGCACCTGCACAGGTAACCACCAACACTGCACCTGCACAGGTAGCCACCGACAGTGCACCTGCACAGGTAACCACCGACAGTGCACCTGCACAGGTAACCACCGACAGTGCACTGCACAGGTAACCACCAATATTGCACCTGCACAGGTAACCACCGATAGGCCACATGTACTCACAGTCAGACTCGGAGCTTGAGCCCTCGACGGGAGAGGCGGCCTGGCCCATTCTTCTTGTCCCAACAACTCGCTGCTCTCACAAATGCCCCTGGGCAAAACACAACCCGAGCCTGCGCTGACTTGTTAGAAAGTCAGTGTTAGAGCACTATACTGGTACGTTTAAACACACAACACAACAAGTGTGTGTTGTGTGTGTGGTGTTCCGTTGTCTTGACAGGCCGGCCTTCCGTCCCCGAAGTGACCCACAACACTCCTCCTCTCGGGTGCAGGCCGGGCTCAAAACTTCACTGGGAACTGTCCGCACGCTGCGCTGGGGACGGCAGTGGCCCCGTGCAGCAGGCGGGTAGAGGCGACGTCGCGGAGACGTCGTCACACGGAGGAGGGCTGCCGCGGTGTGGCCACGGCAGCCACTGGGGCTGGGAGCCACCCACCACCCCCCTAACCTACCGCCCCCTGTGACACGAAACATTCCACGCGTTCTTATGCAGATCGCCCCGCACTTAAGGTTGCCCTAGCAAGCAAGAACAATCAAGACTCTAGCGGCCCTTGATCTGCTGCTAACCTCCTAAAGGATCAAGCTGAAATCGTGTTCAATTTAAAAACAAAATGCTTACACTTTTTTTTTCGTGAAACGTACACACACACACAAAATAGCGCGGACTTTAACGACACATTCATTATGGATAACATTGGTCGCGAAAGCCTACGTGTTAGACCGAATAACACGCGCTTGTCTTGCACGACTTGCAGAGTGTGCTGAGTCGGAGAGACGGTGACCCCTGGGTGATTAACTGGCGGCCATGCCCCTCTGACCCTGCCACAGCCCAACCCTCACTTTCCTTGAAAGCCAACAAGCAATTACTTCATCTGGACCTCAATTATATGGGCAGCAGATTCTTCCCTTTAAGGCTGTCCCATCCCCCTCCCCCAGCTTCCTCAAACACTGCCGTGATTAGCAGAATGTCTCCAGGGTGACAGCCGAAGATGGCACAGCGCAGACACGTCATGCGCGGCTCACAAGGGAGCCCGATTTCCATGCCTTCTAACAAATACCAAGATATGCGGGCAAGATGAAGACAAAGACGGACGTGGTGGGGGAGGGGGGAGTAACATAGAGGAGTAGACCCAGCTCAGTATGGGAAAGATCACATGTGCTGGGAAGGGTTTTTTGGTTGAGATTGCGTGTCGTAAACCCGCCACTACTCAAAAGAAATGTTTGTCATGTAAACAGAACGTGTCAATTAGTTACTACTCCAGGACATCGGTTGTGTTGGAGTAAACCCACAACATTTACCATTTGAGCACAGTGACGTTTCGCTGGCGATTACAACCAGTCTCATCAGGCGATTTGCCAGAATTGTGAAGAAGTCAAATGCATGTTGACCGTCGACCTCCGAACGCGGAGACGACACCAACAGATCTGGCATATCAACGATGAACCAGCCCAAAGTCACAGACTGACTCACTTCTGCATTCTCAATAAACACCGATCAGCAGGTGGTGACGACTCCCCATGTCACTTCCAACTCGCAGTACGTACGTTGTAAACAATCCCCCGCTTACTTTACACAGAGCGGTGCAAAGGAGTGACGCCAATTCTAAAGCTATTCTGCTGCACTGCAATTTTAAACAAATATAGCCAAGTGTATACTTATATTGTGATGTAACTTGGGCAACTCCAAATGCTGTACAAACATTTACTAATGAGAACGACAAGCCCTGCAGAGGATCTCAGCACGAGCTTCTTTTTTTAAACCCAGGCCTGGAAATAGTTGTATCTGGTGGTTAAAATTATGCAAACCTAAAATATATATATACACGGTACTGTAAATAGATGCTGTATTCAGAAATCATATTCAAATGATGGCTGCCAAATATGTAACCTATGTAGATGCAAGCTTGTATCGAGGTTTAGAATGACGGGTACAAATAACATCAGATCAATCTATCAGGTACTTTTTTGAATAATGTTCATTTCTTAACATTAACACCCACCGGCGTACAGGAGTTTATATATCTTAACTTGGAAAGCTGCCAGTACAGTCGAGTACACTGCTGCACAGAAACATGTTCCAATCCGTCTTTGGTTAAAATCCTGGCAGATGTTGAAATGCTGCACTCAATGTAATCGATCGTCTGCCATTACCTCGCTTCGAGAAACCAACTTTTAAACTGGCAAAACCTGTTGTTACAGTATCTACAGTGCAATACTTATCAGACGAATAACAGCTTTTTAAAGTCAAACTGGACCGAATTCTTAAACATACCTTCCGTAGCACATAAGAACGGTATTGCAGTGCTATAACAAATCACTCCGGTACTGTCATATAAAGATGAATACTGCATCTATCTTGATACTGTATAGATCTCCGATGTGCACTGTATGTTGTCCGATGTTTCGTTTCACGCACTAGGGGCTTCCGGAGAGAAAATTCAGCTCAGGAACTTCACAATAAAATAACACTTCAGAGAGCTATACAGAACAAACCGAAGCACAGTAACGTTACATTCGCTCATGTGCAGGAGCTCGATGGGTTTTTGTATTGCAAGACAGAGAGATGGCGACAGCCTTGGGCAGCCCTTCATCAAGCAGTTAATTGAGCATGGCTGATTGTGCCGAAAAACCAAGAAATGTCAGCCTGCTCCCCCTACAAACAATGACTGAGGGGTCGGGCTGGCCGTGCCGTGGCGATGAAACATGGCCATGCTTTGTCACTTGAAAGCTGTAAAATCGCCAAGGTGTCATGCACAGATTATGGAAATAAATGGAGTGACTAGTGAACGACCGTGACTTACTGCACGTGAAAACCACCACCTATGAATCAGTGCTATAATCAGCACATAACACAAACACGTGCCATTTTCATTGCAAAGCACTCGAACCCCCGCATGACCGGGCTTCAGTGTTGGGTCTGATCTGGTATCTTTGTTGGTTGTACTTTGCCCTGTCATATAACAACTTCGGAATATACTTGTAGGGTTTACTGTTTTTAAATTCATGAACATTACGCAGAACTCATGTTGTCAGTGGGAACCAATTTCGCAGATCCCATTATCCGTGGGGTCATCCGAGATCCAACTCCTCTTCTCCGCAGGGTAAAACGAATCACGGTTAACCCACAGATGATAGGATGGATTTGCCGTGCGACAACTCTCATCCGTGAAAATATCGCGAATAATAAAGAGTAATGACGCAACGTGCGTTACCCGCGGATAATAGGTGAAGTCGAGCATGAAACTCTGCTCTTATCTGTGGGGAAAACAATCACATGTATTTTCCCATACATTATAAGTACAAACACGGATAACAGCAAATAGTAATAGGACCGTGAATTTAAATAGTTTTCACGTACTCTAACAGTTGCCGCGGATAATAGGAGCCACGACTAATAGGGCCGCGAATAGGAGACCTCGAAAACACAAATGTATGACATGACAATTCACTGGTACTGCATTGTATTGCAGTACTACGACTCAACGTTGTAAGCTACCATAAGCAGATCGTACTGCACCACAACACAAGACTTTAAACCCTCTGTGCATATTGGTATGACAAATGGTGAAGGATGACTAATAGAATACACTGTAAAACGTCAGCACACGGACGACATTTGGCAGGGCTGACGACGACATTAGTGCAGGTATTCCCATCACTCAGCAACGGGTGATGCTGCAAGTGCAGTCTTCAAACTAATTATTTAGGCAAATATCTCACAAACCAATGTTCTGAGAAGGTTAGGTGATGAATACTGCATTCCAAAATGCGTTATCTTCCCACAGTACAGTACCGTGTTACAATCAGATTGAGGACAACACCCACAGTAAACTTCGAACGTTGGACCAACGATGGTCCGACGTTACAATTTTACTGGGATACCTTGTGTAAAAAAAAAAAAACATTGTTGTACTTAAAAAACGAAGAACAGATTCCTGTATATGTTTTTTTTATGAATATGCGAGAATAGTGGCACGGTTTTGTCCGAGACTGCCACTCTCAACACTGCTGAGTGTAGCGGCCTCCAGTGGCGAAATCGTTACATTAATGGAACATCACACAAAGAGAGAAAACGTAGACAATTCTTACTACACGCAATTCATTATTATAATTACAGATTCATTCCTGCTATGTAAAATAGGAACAGCAATGAAGAAAACATAGAAATAAGGATAAAATCAATTGTGTTACATTTAAAATATTTGCACTCAAATAAATCTACGTTACAAAATAAATGCCCGCGTCGTGAGCCGAGCAGATTGGTTTCGTCTGATCATTGTAGAATTACAAAACATTAAACAGATACAGGGTGATCATTTCACTAACATGTAAAAGGACACGTCAAATGTATACAAAGACAAAACAGTACACTTCCGTTAATTAAGTGCCTTTATACAACTCAAAATTGGACTTCTAAAGGACGTACTTGAATAAAATAACACGTGGAGGCGCATAGATTAGGATGTCTTCAGCCAATTCGTGTGTATTATACAATCTGTTGAAACCGGAGCATCCGGAGAAAAACTATACAACTATTTCTTTTTATTTTACCAGGCAATGCCCACTGAGCAAATGTAGCTCTTTTTCAGACCATCACAAATGTCGGCTCAGCGAAGTGGATCATCATGTTGACATTTCGAGCAGCCAAAAACTCTCAACGCGTGATGTTGACTCGAAATGTGTAAGGGGAAAACCGCGGAGGGCCCAGAGAAAAATCCACGGGACCACGGGAAGAGAGACACGCAAACTCTAGCATACAGCCGGGCGTTGTCAGTGTCGGGATCGAGCCCACGACCCCCTTTGTATAGCAAGCGAGGTAGTTAACGTGTGGCCACGCGGAGTCAGGGGTCACCATCACCCCATACACACGTAGAGGACACGTACACACGCACACACGTGTTCTGTCCCTTCCTCCTCACGTACTATATACACATTCAGTCCTGCACTCGACTGGATAGAATCCTCCGACATGAGAAATCGTGGCAGGACGCTCCTGAAACTGAGTCATGGGACTCAGGTGAGGATAATACATCAAATAAGTAACAAATACTAGCCAGCCCAACTACAACGCCACCTCCGGAGTATGCCATCACACCGCACTCTACTCCACTGCATTGGGGCCCTATGCACTCTCTATACAGCAGCATATCGCCTCCTCCTGGGCCGAGAAACATCGTACGGTCAACAATCGTGTACAAACAAGATATAAACAACAACGTGGAACGAACGTACGGTATATCGATTGATTTGTTTAAAAGACAATTGTAAGCGACATCTGCTGTGCGGGTCTACTCACTTCGTTTGACATCCATGTTCAGGTGACGACGGTGCCTGGGCAGAGTAGTGGTGGTGGTGGTGGTGTTTTTTGTTGTTGTAGTTTCCCGCAGCTTGATGAAAA